CCAGTCTCGTTGATTTATTTGCCGATCGTCCCATCGTCGTAAAGCAAGCGTCGTCGTAAGGAACGTGTTCGCGAGATGATCGTAAAACCGATGACAACTTTCGATGACATTTATGTAGATCTACATTCGTAGATCTACATAATAATATCGAATATTATGATATCGATTGCAAAAGCAAATTGCGTATATTTCTCGTCTCGATAGGAAAGCTTTTATTGGTTGAATCTTGCTTCATTTTGCAATCAGTTGTATAGAAAGCGTAGGAAAAAGTAAAATTTATTAGCAAAATAAATAAATTTTATCCAATTGTCTAGGATATCAGATTTAAAATTATTCCTACGCTTATTAGTCACTCGTTAAATTAGCACAGCGATTCATAAGAGCGTCGCGAAGCGAGAATCAAAGTGGCAAAGGTTGTACTTGGATGCGCGTGGAGGGTAATCGCTTCTGAGGAATTTGCATTCTATGGATGTCGCAAACATTTACGACGACGCGTGGTTCCCATGTCGCTCTGCGCATCCAGAAATTTATAGCAATTAACACGAATTCGTGAGCCAATGCGTGGGCGAGTAGCCGGTAATGAATTTAGTTCGAAATACGCACCTTGAGATATTCGCGCGGCACGCAAAGCGCTTGGATAAGTAGATATACATCTCCCAGATCGATGAAATACATACGTGCGAAAAGCGATAACCGTAATATTGATACGATGTTACACAGTTGTAAGTTTTACTGCAATCGTAAAAGACGTGAGATTTACCGTGTTGACTGTGTAAATATTTGGAAATACTGAAATATGATAGATGGCTTGGCCAATCGTGATGCGTTTATCACTCGCGCGTATTCTTACACAAGCTTAACTCTTAAGCTCCGCTAAATAACAGCTACTTTAGATTGATGGAAATATTGTAACAAAAAAAAACAGATAAATTTCATCAATGTTACGAAAATCCTTAAGATTTTTAAATAATAGTTTGTCTCATATATTTCACCAAGAAAAATAGGAAACGAAAGAGAGAGTAAAACAATATTACTTCAAAATATATTTTACTGCTTTTTCCATTAGCGCATGATCATCAGATTCAACTTTATTATCTTAATTATCTTTTATAATCTATTCATAAATCGCGGAATATTTATTTCAGAGTTATATTTGATCGAATTATATTGTCCATTCCTTCTCCAGGTCCACGTCATTAATTACAATATGTCGAAGTCGAATTTTGCATATAACTTGAAGGATGCTCGACCCTGCGGGGTTAAAAAATTAACCGCGCAGCGCGATTTAGCGAGGCGAAACAACAACGGAAGCTTCCAGAAATGCGAAACACGATGAGAATTCCGCGTCGAGCGCGATCGAGCCACGCGAACCACGAAGTCGTAACCTGCCATGCCATCGGCTACACGGCACAACTATGCACGTGCGCAGCTATGCACGTGTGCGCCGGGTTCGAGAGAGAATAAGAGAGAGAGAGAGAGAGAAAGGGAAAGAAAAAAAGAGAAAGAGAGAGAACCGCCTCTCGTGACGCGGCGTTTGGTCCAGCGTATCTCTCGGTAGCCAGCGTCACTCTGGTCGTTAGCATCTATCTTCTTGGCGTCTGTTATCCTCTCTCTGGTTATCCTTCCTCTCAGCTCTACTGTGTCCTGCTTTGTTTCACTCGCCAGACAGGATTTTCAATCTCGATTCGAATCTTCATTAATCGTCCCTCGACCACTGCATGGTCGGAAATTTAAAATCAAAACTTTGAAATGGAAGATTTTACACTTCTCAAGATTCTTGAGCCCGCAGAAAAGAAGTTCTGAAGTTTTTAAAATACTTGATAGATATTTAAAAATTTTGTGGTTGTATATTTTTACTCGAGCATATATATTATATATTCCAAAGTTTTATTTCATCAGATACTCTACATCATCAGTACATAACTCACTAAAACGCGGTCATAATTGCAACACTGCAAAGTAAAAATTGATTGTCCATAAAGAGTAGAAAGATATTATTACGACATGTTGCTGAGCCTGCGTCGTCGTGTTATTAAGAGACTAGGTGAAGTTGAGTCAGCAAGCTTTATTATTGGTTTCGCTATTAGTAACCAAGCGACCTAATTTAATTCGACAGCACGGAATCGCCAATTAGCACGAATTATTATGATTACGATACTCGAGCGATAATCGCAGAACACGCCGATTCGAAATCTCGCTCGAAGGGACGAATTATTATGATCGTAGGTACAAGGTGCAAGCAAACGTTCTAGAATCTTATCGACACGCTTTAATCGCAATAGTTTTATCTCTTAACGAGCATTCGTGATCGGTATCCTCGTTATCGATCCTAGAAATCATACTTGAAATGTGCATAGCTATGCAACTGAATATTTTAATGCTTGTAAAAAAGCACTGGCGTTTCATAAAGATGAAAATTTTAAATATTTAAAGATCATGTCTATACACGAATAGGAGAAAAAGCGAAAGAGGAAAATATAACTTTAACATCGGAATAGATAGATGTGGGAACAAAATAATATATCTTGAGAAAATTAAAAATTTTATTATGCAGGGTGTTTCTCAATAAGAGCGAAAAATTTTAGAAGATGATTCTTTGTCGAAAATTAAGAGGGGTTTTTCATATAAACATATACTCCTACATTCCTCCCTGTGGAATTACACTCCTCCAAAAATGGGAGTAAAAATTAGGTTTTTATTTTTTTCGCAAATTTAGAACACGTTAAAAAAATGAAATTAGGTGGATATTTTTTACTAGGAAAAAAGTTATTTATTAATATTTTTTTCAGCATTCTGTATTGTTATAAGGAGATGAAACTAGCAACCCCTATTCAATTTTTTATTAGAACTTTTATTAGAACTTTTTAATGGGCCGGAATATGATCATCTAAAAATATGCATTAAAAAGTTTGATTTATTTAAAAAATTTTTTATTTTTTTCAATAAAATCAGTAATTTTCAAAAAAAAAATACGTTATCGTGCACATCACGGTGCTAAATAGCATAGGTTTCAAATTACGAGAAGTTTTTTAAAATAAAAATAAAATTAGTTGGGAAAATTGGAACAAAAACAAAATTATAATAAAAACTTAAAAACCTAATTTTTATCGCCATTTTTGTAGAAGTGCAAAGAAGGACGTAGGACTATATGTTTATACGAAAAACCGCTTTTGATTTTCGACAAAGAATCATCTCCTAAGATTTTTCGCACTTATTAAGAAATACCCTATATAAGGTGAGATGAGAGTGCGAATCAAAATAAAATGTTTTAGAAAGACTGTGAGACGTTGAGGCCAGATGTGGCTGCGTTCAGCAGAAAAAGCTGTTTTACAACTGTTGTAAAATTCGTGAGCCTGATTGGTATATACTCTTAATTTTGACTGAATCTAAGATTATACACCAATCAGATTCGAATTTTACAACAGTTGCAAAGCAGCTTTTCCTGCTGAACGCAGCCAATATGATGGCATTAGTTAGCAAGCAAAGAGCACCAAGGACTGAATTTCGTAATAATTTTGTCTTTCTCGACACATACATTGTTCGTGTAAGCGGGACGAAATATATATTAGCTCCAATAGCTTACTCTGTCTCATTTGCAGCATCGCGGATTCGTGTTATACAATGCCAAAATACAATACATGTTGCTCAACGCGTCAACAAGCATATTTCAATCTCGAAGCAGTTGTAACTTAACTGAAACTATGCGACGAATTAAATCACGCTCCTCGTAGCAAGAAGAATATCTATATATTACGACTAATAATTATTAGTTATATCGATATACGCAATTGGTGTACAGAAAATTCACATCGCAACGTCATAAGCATTATATAATTTTCGCCAAATATCGATTTGTGACTGTTTCTAAAGACGTGAAAGATCGAAAGAGAACTGTCAATGTAACGTTTGTTGACGATTCGAGAGGAAACTGAACCCTATTACGAATCCAGCAACAGTAGCAGTAACGTATAAAGTAGCGAATCTCACCGCGGATGAGCCATTATGCTCAAAGGCAGTGCACCAGGCATTTCGCCAGGATATTGGCCGCTTTGAATTCAGATTGCGCGGCCATGCGGCCTCCGCGTTTTTATTCTTCCTCTTTCGCAGACAATTTATGCAATCTGGCCCGCGTCGTACGCGTATTTATAACCGCCGGCCCTTTGTGTGTTAATTCTGTACTTGTGTGTTACTTGGGTATCCGATTCTGCGCGGGGAAAGACTCGCGCATTTCTTCGACCTTTGATCCTCGGTGCATCTTTGCGGCTTTTGTATCCGAATGTACAATTAACGAAAATATAGATATATCAATCGAGAAATGTTAAATTAATAATACATGGCGAGATTCAACTAGAAACTTCAAATTTTTCATCATTTTTCATTATTAAAATATATGCGAAAAAAAAATAATGTCGTTATAAGATGACAAAATACATTTTACCAAAAGATCGCTTATATATATTTATCTGTAAATTTTTTAAAGATTTTTCATAGTTATGTTTATAAGTCAATTTTATTATTATTTCAATATTTATTAATCAAATGTAAATATAAAATCAATTCTTCCTTTAATTGCATCGACTTGTTGGAAAAATGTGAAAACATAAAACCATCATCGGTCTTTAAAAGGATCAGAGAGAAGCGTACGGTGTGCGTAAGGAGAAAACCCAACAGAAAAAAATGTACGCCGAGTTAGGGCGAATGATCGACTTTGATCTCCGTGATTTTTATAGAAGCATCTTGCGTCGCGCGGCTTGATATTTTGCGGCTGTCGCGACTCTTCGGCGGAAATCCCGCAGAAATTGGAGCGGTGCCGTCGAGAGACGGGAGGATTTCGCGAACGGCTTCCCCGCCTGCCGATGTCTCGCCGAGGTGCAATGCACTCGTTGAAATAAAAGTTCCACGAAGATGGAGGAGGCCGCTCTTTCGAATTGGCCCCTAATTTCTTCCCCATAACTAAGAAGACGCACTTTATGACCGGCGGCTCGCTTTTTCTGTTGCAGCGTTGAAGGTGAAGCTCATGCTGAGGCGACCCATCAATCAGCTGGTTGCGCAAGGCATCATGCCATGTAAGTGTTGATCCGTTTGTTTATTACACCATTTATATTTTTTTTTTATTTTTTGTTTTCTCGTATACCGCGGAAAATTGCGCTTGTAGGATTCGAAGCTGTTAAATCTTCGCCGATATTGCGATAATACTTGCTATCTGCGCAGCTGTCGTTACGACCCGTTATTGAACATCATTGTCGGTCTTCGTCGGTCTCTTAAAAACATTTTCGTTCGGATAGATTGATGCATGCACGAGTCAATTATCGAGGCTTTCGGAATTACATATAAAAAGTAAGGGGCTCTCTGATATCTAGGACACTTGTAGATTGTGATAAATTGCCTCGTAACGATTAAGGAAATTGATAATTATCGATCGTTTTTTTTTGAGTTTTGAGAAGTGAAACGAATTGGGTCTCTTCCGAGTCAATTAATCTTGTAATAATTAAATCGATCTATCCAGAAAAACGACGCAAATCGACTTTTCTATGAAACAACAGCTGCAAGAATGACCTCGCTTCCTTAACACATGTCTTTTCCGCAATAAGATTCCCATTCGATTATTCTTCTTTATCCTATCGTGGGATGAACTAAATTCTCGTGACATCCGCGAGCGGCGATGTAAATGAAGAAGCAAAAGTGAAAACACCGTCGTCTTTCGCTCCCGAAATCCCCGAAGCGATCAACGGTATAAGAGCGGCAGTCTCTAGTTGCTCGGTAGATTTACGACGGATACCAAATGTTTACCAGAACGAGAGCACCGGCATCCAGTAATTATTTGGGTCACACCCTAAAATATTACTCTTGTTACCGTCCGCGCGCCGGCGCGTTTTATAGCACCCGGTATATATTGCCGGGCCGATGAAAATACGCACTTTGATAGGTCTCGTTCGCCTTTATGCGCATCCGTGTATATGCATTTCCATACCGTGCTGGATTCATTCATTTGTATCTCCCTGCGGGATTCTAAAGTCGCTTCACATACACATCTGCATAATAGTTGCTTTCGCAGAAATCGACCAGAATTATGTTATAAATCCAGTCTCTTCCAGCAGAAATCGATGCATTTCTGCGAAAGATTTTTCGAAAGCAGAACAGTCCCATTTATCAGCAGTTCTTATTGCTATTTATATTTTATTTTTTAATTTATATTTCATTTCCAATGTTATTTAAAATTTTGCAAAATTTAAAAAGTAATGACAATTAAAATTTAATTTTTTTATATCTCTTGTCTTTATTATTTTTTTAATAATATTATTTTATTTTAAGTCTTTATGAGAAATATATTATATATGAATGATACAAAAAAAATTTAGTTGCCCTATTCTAAACTACATATGTACATTATTAAATGTGTATTGAATATGGTGAAAACTTTTAATAGCGCTTATAAAAGATTGCTCGTTAAATGGCTATAAATACTCAGTTGAATGAAATTGTATATTAATACATTTACGACGATATTAATCTGTTCGTATTAATTTATCTATGAAGTTTACTGCTTCGTTCCGCAACGAGATGTTTGCCAGATTGTATCATATCGTATCAACAAGTACATCCGCATCGTCATACGCGTCGCAAGTACACAACGAGCGAATACAAATAGACTTATGCGATTTGCTCCCGAAATGTCAATCGTCGTGCAAAGAGAGAGAGATCACAATTCCGTTTTATTTCCCAAATCTTGAGCTCACTCCAACCGCGGAAGACGTTTATTGCGGCAAATTAACGACGCCCCTCAGACACTTCGCGTGAGATTAGAATAGGCGTTGCAAGGACGTCGGGCGTCTCGCTGCCTCTGAAACCTCATGCTTAGAAGGGAAACGAAATGACGAAGATTTCAAAATGAAGAAGCGAGAACGTTGAATTTCGTTCGCGAAACTAGACCAAAGCAAAAGTTTAAATACTACGTATTTATAAATAATTTACATTATGCATATTTACAATTTTCAACATATGGTGCGAGGAATCTCGCGAAAAAAATCTCTCCTTTTCATTCATTTTCGTATCTTCGTAACAGTATCATAAATTCTCCGTAACGAGTCGAAGAGTAATATCCGAGGAAACGTTGCATCTCCCGCGTGACAACGACTCGCAAGGGAATTGCATTCGCGATTAATCTCGAAGCCGCTAAAAAAATCCGCGATGGAGGGGAAGGAGTCGCCGGAAAGAGTGCCCTGTCCGAGACGGAAACTTACGGCATTTGCGGTACGTTAAAATACCAGAACGCGCTCATGTATTTTCACGTTTCCGTTACCAGACTGCGGCGACGAGAATCATCGTACACGCGCTTTTATTCCGCACAACGACAGCATCCGCGTCCGGAAATACATAGCAGTAGGAACACGCTTCGGGGATCATTTATTCGGCGACTTAATGGTGCTGGGGAATGCGAGAGTGGAGGAGGACGCGTCATGTTGACACCGAAATGGCGCCATGCGGACGCGTTTGAGAGTCATCGTCAAATTGATGCTTGCAACATGCGCGACATCGCGTATCGAGAAATTTGGGCGCCTTCTTTCTTTTCTTTTTTAAAAAAAAAAAATCTAACAATTGCGACCTAGATTCAGAGACGAAAAATTCTGACAGCCTCGAATCAGTCTCTTCCGCGATTACTGATTATTCCGTTATTTGTAAAAAAAAGTTTGCGATACAATGTAGTAGCACGACATGCCATGCATAAAATTAATCGCGTCGGAAAGAGCAAATAAAATACGATATGAGAGACAAGAATGTTTTCCTCCTCGCACATGCAGCGCTGAAAACGCCACCGGCGTTTCACGAGCAACGGAAGCAGCTGGAGCGAGCAAAGACAGGCGATCTGCTGAAGGCGAAGATCCAGCAGAGACCAGGTAGGGACGAGCTCGTCCGACAGCACATCCTCGAAGATGTGGGTCACGTGGATCCGAGTCTGGCCGAGCGGCAACGGATGCTGAAGAAGGCCAGGCTAGCCGATCATCTCAACGATCAGCTCAGTCATCGACCCGGACCGCTCGAACTCATCCAAAAGAATATCCTTCATACTGAAGAGCCCATCGAGAGGGCAGTCAAAGGTATCAGTTATCTCGACAGCCTGTACAAAAATAAAATGATGATACAATTATTTATGATGTAAAAAAAATGCAATGTATATAAAAATAAGTAGATTTACTATGCTTTATTATTAATTAACGTTACGTCACATGCAAAGTTATATATCAAGTTTTTGCAATCTTTAATTACTTTACGATTTAATTCTTCCCCTAGAGGGTCACATTCCCTTCAAGGCCACCTGCGAGGGGCAAGTGACGAAGCCCCAGCATCCGGACCACTACATTACCTTCGAGGATGACTCCCAAAGTTCGGAGGGCGCGCCCTCACCGCAATTGGAATCGCGGTCGTCGGACGTTCTGGAAACCGCGGCGGCCTCCGCGGGTATCGTCACAGTTTCCCTCAGCATACCCACAACCGGCGGCGCCGTTGTGGTCTCGTCGACATCCCCTGTGTTTCAGCAGACATCCACGGAATCGACGATACAGACCTTCGCCGAGCTTTGCAACACCGTTGTAGGCTCGCAACAGCAAAGTCAACAACAACAAATCCAGCAGGCTCAGCAGCACACGTCTACGCAGGTAAATTCAAAGTAGCAATGATGGTAATTTTTTCGATTCGTTGTGACGGGTATTACAGTAGTAGCTTCGTTGTAAGGTTGATTTATTTTTAAAGAGCTAAACGATAATAAAAGCATTAATCAAGCGATTGATTGCGACGATAATTCTCTAGTGCATAATTAGAAAGTTGTCAACAATTATATTGATAGCAATCTATATCACGGATCTCATTATGGAAGTTCAAAAAACTACCGGGCGTTCTCTTTCTCTCTTTTTAATAGGCGAGTCAGACGACAAATGGCCCGTCGACAACCCTCCTGCCACTGGCGCCGGCGCCGAGCCCGATGTCCCTGGGCTCAACCACATCCAGCCTGAGCCCTCTGTCCAACATCTCGATAGCGTCGCCCCCGGCGCCGCCGCCGGCGGCAATCACCCCGCGGCCCCAGCCGAGCCCGATTGCCGCCGTCACCACGTGCCAAAGGAGCGACGCCCCCGGAAAGGACAAGAACAGAAAGAAGTCAAAGACCAAGAGCCAGCCCAAGACCCGCACGATTAAATTCCACGAGTACAAAGTAAGTTCGCTTTCAATTTATTATGTCAACATTTCGACGACGAGAACAACCGTGTCATTCTATGTGACTTGCATAAATGAGAGCAATACGCGAAACGTTTGCGAGTTTCATTATTTTCTTCTTTTTTTTCTTTATCGCCAAGAGCTGCAGAATGATATTGTTCGTTCTCGTCTGGAGATATCGATTTTATTACACGGAGCGCATTATGTCTTCGTAATAACTATTGAATCGTGATGAAAGTTATTAAGGGCCATTCTCGAAGAGCATCGAAATTCTGACATCACTGTTCGCATTTGCGTCTTGGGAATTTTTAAACATGATGCATGTTGCGTAATAGCAAACTTGATTGATGAATCGAAAATTCGGATACTTTTTTTGATCACAATCTGTTTATTACGTATAAATATTAATTAGTAATATTAAACAATTAATAGTATTAAAATTGAAACAATAATTGCTACATTCTATATTTGTGCTAAAATTATTTTCTTATTTAATAATTAATTTAAAGGATAAAATGTAAAGATTAACAATAACTGAAATACAGAAAGATTACTCTAATCAAATCTAATTAAATATAATTTTCCATTAAAATATTATTTATTAATTTTTATTAATATAGTAGCGTTTATCTCAAAAGTTTTCGGCTTAAACTGTCTCTCTTTCGGCATAAAATTCGAGAGAAAAAAAATTTTACCGGAAATTCCTCCGTCATGATAAACGGCTAAAACGCCACGGACGAGATGCAAAGTATCTTCTTCGATCGAGGCACGACCGAAGTGTATATACAGAGGCGCGCGATAATTATCGTGTACCCGGGATCGCCGGGTGGCACTACAAACTAGTTCCCGGGCAGTGCGGGCTAACGGAGAAGCCGCATTTCGGCGTGGCAACAAGCACGGCAAAAAGATGAGACGAGCAAAAAGGACGGCTCGAGAGCAAGAAGAAGAGCGGAGGAGGTGGCCGAGTAGGAAGAAGGCAAGGTAAAAACGAATACGGAGCACGGACCGTGAATCTCGGCTCCAGTGGACTGCTGCGGTGGACAGACCGGGGCCCGGAGGAGCAACTCCTCGAAGGGAGATCGTATCGGGTGATTAACTCTCGCGATCTTCCGAGAGAGGGAAAGAGAGAGAGAGAGAAAGAGGGGGACTCAGGACCCACCTCGTTAGCTCTGAGTAATTCGAGCGCTAATTGCACCTAAGAACGGAGGAAGCCAAGGAACGAGCGGCGAGAGCGGATCATCCGCTCGGGGTTTCCTCCTCCCCGAGCCGAGCCGAACCGAACGGAGCGGCCGAGTCGTCCAGGCCCAAAACACCCGAGATACGGTTTGGCCGGTGTGAAAGCGAGCCGGGAATGGGCGTGCAAATGAGGGCGCAGAAAACATCTTGATGTATCATTTATCACTCGGTGCGGCCTGCAGAGCTACGTCACCTACCTTCGTCTTCTCCTTCGCGATGCACCGAAAACGTCAGACAGTGATGTCAGAAAAAGTATTTCAAATCTGTTGACCGAGTGTGAATAGCGTTACGTAAATCGAGATGCACAAAGACAGGTTTTATTTTTCGAGTTTTTTATCATCAGGCTTGTTCGATCGTGAAGCGAACGAGTGATTAAACGCGCGTTGGGTTTCTTCATATTTTCTTCACAATATAGTACAACTCGACTCTTTGCTGTAGGGTCCCCCAAACGCGCAGAAGACACCAGTGTCGTCTAGCACTTCCGGTCTTGGCGCCGCGCAACCCGGTGAGACCAGTTATGAACTGCTCCTGCAGCAGCAGCAACTGTTCCTCCAATGGCAACTCGAGTGGCAGCACAAGGTACTGACGCGTGCAATGTAACCAGTCAAATTTTTTACAATAAAAAATTCTACATTTATCTCAATTTTTCGCACAGAATACTATTTTATCATTTTATATTGTTTCTGAAAAGCCTTATTGAAAAAATTCCCAAAAAATTTCCACTCTTTAAGTATATTAAAATATTTAATGTGAAACGAATATTCTATTGATGAAGCTACAAGATTAAAACATTTTTTTTATTCAGTATCCACAGATTATCTTGCCGGCCGCGCAGAAGCCGCTGTCACTTACAAGTAGCAGTGCAAGTGATGCTGGTAGCGTGAGCGGAAGCAGTGCAAACGCTGCTAGTCCAGCTCCTTCAAATTCTTCGAACAATCCTTCGGAGCAACCTCCGTTGAGGCCCTTAGGCAAGCTGGAAGACATGAAAGGTATCAAAATACATGACAAACACGAACAAAATTCGACATAAAAAGCAGAAAATAATTTCGCGCATTGCATTCACAGTGAGCGATCTCAAGGTGGAATTGAAACGACGGAATTTGCCGGTGTCGGGATCGAAACCGCAATTGATTGAACGATTAAAGCCCTTCACGGAATCATCTAGTAGCAACTCAATGTCCAACGGACCGCATGTAACGCATATGGGTCACATCTTAATGGATACGCCTGGCCCGATGGCAACGGACGAGTCCAGTTCTCAAGCCAAGAGTCCGAGTTGTATCGTGAAGGACGAACCGAATAGTCCACGAACCGCCTCGCCTCACAGTAGCGAGCACGATGATCCGTCGAGTCCGCCAGGTAAAAAAACATCATCTCAATGCCTCTTTGTTATATTAAACACTACTTTAAATTTTTGGTGTGCGCGTGCGAGAAAGACTATGAGACTTTCAAGCGAGGCCATTGATTCGAGAGACAACATACACGTGGGTGTTTTTACGACGTAGTTCGTGTTTCAGGAGATGATATCATCAAGGTGCAGAGGAGACGGATAGAGGAGTTACAACGCGAGCTGTACAAGTCGCAACAACAGCTTCAGCAAATCCGCCAGACGCAGCCAGCCACGGTGCGCGCCGAGAAGCTGGTCCTCCAGCAACACATACAAAATAAAATGCAACAGCAACAATTACAGTTACATTTACAACAGCTTCAACATCTACAACAGCAGCAGCATCAGCAACAACAACAACAACAACAGAATCAACAACAATCACACCAACAAACGCAACAACAAGCCACAATCCAACAACTCAATGCGAAAGCGAGTCTCGCGGCCTTTTTACAGGCACAGCCAAATAATGCGACCGCCATTCTCGATTCTGCGACTCTAACTGCGATCAACAACAAGAAAAATCAGTCCAAGAATAGCACTACTGTTCAAATACCTACAGCGATCGTTCTGAATCTGGCAAAACCGACCAAGCTGAATGGCTCATTGCTCGGTGCTCTTGTGGCTCAGGCACAAGCTCAACAACATCAAACAACTACCTCTGATGACAGTAAGCCGCCACCGCCGCAATACGACGAAGCCGCTAAGTTGTTGAAGGTATAATCATAATTTTCAATTTTTTTTTCATCATTTTCAACATTTCTTCTAATGTTTTATAAATCTATAACGTTATAATTATGCGCATTTTTAGGTTAAAATCGAGCCGGTTCAGAAAAATCACATAAAGAGCCAAGAGGTTGACGATGTATTAGAAATTCTCATCAGGAATGGCGAATTACCGCCGAGTGCCGCGCAAGATCCGGCTACTCCTACGACTCCGAATCGTCAGCTGCAACAGAATCTGGTTTTTACCGCGCCGGCGGACAGTCCAACTCAATCCTTGGTCTTTACAGCTGCTAGTCCAATGAGTCCCATCAGTCCGATACCGATGGAAGTATCCCAGAGCGGTTGCTCAAGTCCATCAACACCGGCACCGCCACCGCCACCGCCGTTGCCGTTAACGGCATTTTCCATTCAATTACCCAATGCGTTGCAACAATTGCAACAGCAGGAGGAGATCTCGTCCTTCAGTACGGATCTTTTGAATACCGAGGCCGAAATGGACACCGCTATGTTGCTCAGTCCTCAATCGACGCAACAAGCATCTCCAGATCCTCAGCCACCGCAAGAAGTGACTTCTTCAGATAATGCGAATTTGGATCTCAAAGTAAGTCTTTCTTTTTTCTTCTGGGAAAAAATTGTATTGAGAAAGAAAATTATGTTCTGACATAATAATTAAAATAATATGTAATACAATTATCAAAAGTGAAAATATATATAGCACTATTATTCTAATTGATATTTTATTCCTCAGGAACTAGGACTGGATTTAGAAACGTTAGATCCAATGGATTTTGTCCAGTTGGACTGCGACATGCCAATGGATATGGACGATCCGGATTGGTTAGACTCTCTGATGCCGCAATCGCCCACAACTTCTACAACATTGTCGTCATCCAACCATCAATCTACTATGCCGTCGATTAGTCTCTCGTCCGCCACAGATATCTATGACCCGCTCTTAGGCAGCAATCAGTACTCCTTTGATCTCTTTAATATGGAAGACTCCGATTTCAAGATGTCATCCGATTTATCTCCAATGACATGGGACAAAGTAGACTTCGCGACCTAGCCCAAGATACTCTTTCGTAATCCGGCATTATGTACTTAATTCTTGGTAAGCAAACAAAAATATAATTCGAGAGAAAGAGACAAAGGGATGCGAATAGTCAGATTATTATATCCATTTGGTCGGATTTATCCGGTGCATTTTATATAAATCGTTTCGCGACATCCCTCTTTACCTCTGATGCATCTTATGACGAGCATATCGATGTTACATCCAACATGTACTTATACGCGCGCATCGAGATAAAAAGTGTTTCAGCACGTTTTTTGCAGCACAGGTTAAGTATTGAAAACATAATCATACTGCTGAAAAAGATAGTAACGCAATCGTAATCGTAAATAACAAGCAAGAACGAGAAGAATATGGACCAGTCCTTACAATGTTTGACGCGCGTGTTATCGCGCATTCTTTCTCGATTAATGACTACTAATTACACATTGTTACTTTGATCGATAAATATGATCGTTTTCGCGAAATAATCATCCGATAAATGCTTAGAATGAGCTTTGTGAGTGTTTCCCTTCTGGCATTCATGTAAAATTAAAATCCTCGATTAAATAGCAATGTGCAAGAATTAGAGTGAACGCTCTTATATATTAGAGGGAAAAGGACGATAGTTCTGGAAACAATTGCAATACTTTCAAAATTCTCCAAAGAATCTGCTTATTATACATTTTTAAGCTAGTTTTTACTGTTCAGTCGTGTGTTGCTTTTAATAATTGCGAGAAATATCGTGTGTGTCAAACAAAAGAAGATGAGAAATACTGCGTATATATGATCTTCTCGAATAAATTTTCCGCCCCCTAAATCGCTATCCTCCGCTCTCCCTTAATTGTAATCAATCGTAACATAACCGCATAATTATATATACTTACAAAATCTAATATAATACGATAATAATAATAATTATTATTATGTAAAAGTATACATATATACGCATATATATACGTATACACATATGTAAAATATACTTATATGCGCTTGACATCTGCGAGTCAACTAACGTTTAGATACGCGAGTTCAAGGACTTTTCAGCGCAGTTATAAATATTTTCTAAGCTACAGAGCATGTGATGTTAGGAATTATTGCGTATTTTAATCGATAATCATTAATAATAGAGATGAGAAAAATCGTGGGAAAGGCTGCGCGCGAACAAGCTGCACAATCGTGCCGGGATCGGTTGCCACGGTGCAGTCCTTTGATCCTTCTCCCGCGACTAATTAATCTTTTTGAGATGTTTTGTAACATTCCATGTTTCCAAACTACGAACAAGAGAGATCAAAGCCACGCGTATCACGAGCCGCAATCATTACGCACATCGCATAAACGATTGCTATATTAATCGAAGAATCTTGTCTCGGAAATGTTGTGTCGGGTTATACAGTTACTTTGTAAAACTCTATCGCCGTGTATATTTCTGAAACGTTCTTCAAAGACCAAGCGGCTTTACGCGTTGACGTAACGACGAAGGACTGTGCCGGCGAGCTCGGTTATAAGGGAAAGAATATGTATGTATGTATGTTGCATGTATGGGAAATTGTCTTAAAGAGCGTGGATGCTTATCTGTGAAAATATAAGAAAATCTCGGCTTAATTGCAACATGACAAAATGATAACATTTGCATGACAAATCTGATCTTTGAAAAAAATCCAGCAAACATTTAAATAATGTAGAAATATGTGGAAATATTTTTTATATAATAATATATAATTGTATAATGTAATATTTTTGCTTCTAATTATTTCAAAATTTAGATACTTTTTATCTAAAAAAATTTCTTTTTATATATTTGCAGTATCTTAAAATATCAATATTTTTCATAAAACTTAATAACAAATACATCGATATTTTGTTAAAATATTATAGCAACTGCAGATTTTTTTTATGATGTGTGTATATGTGTGTGCATGTGTGTAATATGTGTTAATGTTTATGGACAGCGATGGTGCTATTTGAAACCCCAATATACTGCGATCGATTCTCTTTGAAAAATATCGTGGTTGTAATTTTTAAAAAACCCTATATAGCGTTCCGAGTTTTCCTCGCGATGGACGTGCCTCGAAGTGTCAATTCACGGCGAAATTTTTAGTTCCATGCGGGACTGATATTGTATAGTATAAAGAATGTGAGAGAATATATTGTTTTCGAATGAGTTAGTAGTTTCGAATGAGAAAAGATTAACGAAGTTTGTTTTCATAGTCTCATTAATGAAATGGCATATTGGCTCGCGATCATCACTTCCTCTTCCCACGTTCACCAGAGAAGAAGCAAAAGAAAAAATACAACATTCCAAACATATTCATGCTCCACGGAAAATCCTTAAAATCTCGAGATACTGCCATGTTCCGTGTGCGCGAGAGCGCCTAATAGAGAGATGAAAAACGCGAGAACATGTATCATTGAATTCGAATTCGTCGAGACACGTGCAGAAGTAATTAACCCAAACTCAATGCATTTAATTAGGAGTCTTCCTTTTTCCCAGTCAGAAGTCTTGACTTTTACAGCCCATCGCAGAAACATTTCTTATTTTTATCGTACTGATAAGCGAACTTGATTCCGCAAATCTTATGAATTTCATAGTCTTGAGATTCATACCAATCGTGCCAATAGAACCGATCTCGATCACTTGGATACTTTTATAAATAGCATATAAATAGTATCAGAGCTCTCAAAAATATTTTTTTTCATATCAAGTGGCTCTTACGCTGGTAATCCAATTTGCAATGCTGTCGATTCAACAAAGACCGCTTTGTAATCGTGTTTTACTAACACTTGCATTTAATGTCTCATTTTTTAATCGCTTTCTTCTGCCGTTGTCTAAAGTTTCCAATCCTGAATCCCGTATTGTTAAAGCTTTTAAACTTCCAAGTTAATGATACTCTTAAGTACTTTTAAAGTATGGCCTGAAACAGAGATGTCTGTCAAAGCAAACGGAACATGGCATCGGGGTGAACAACAAAGGTGCCAAAAATGAATATTCCTTGCTATTAGCATCACTTAGAAAATTCACATCTCACATCTCACCATCCCTTGCCATGACAATAAAAGTTTTATTGTTCTGTAAAATATTGTACATATATAATATTAGAAAGAGAGATTTAAAAAAATGAGAAAGAAAGAGAGATATAGTGTACGCGTGCGCGCAAGTGTGTGTGTATGTGTGTGCTTATGTGTGTTATGTATGTATATGTGTGTTATGCAGCGGCGAGCTTGAAGTAACGAATTTATTTAGAACAATCAAAAGATGTGCGATCATATAATGAAAAAATCAGATTCTTATAAAGGATCTCTATTTTATCGAATTCGTGTCGCAGCGAGCACCATGCTTAACGTTGTAATCGCATAATTATTTCAATTGCAAGTCGTTCATCATGATTTTGCCGATGATTGATCGATCTGTCAGGCTGTGCGAATCTGGTAGTCTGTCGTGTGTAGTGCGTCTGCGCTGTATGTGCGTATACGTGTGAATAATGAATCTTTATAACTTGCGAGAGCAACCAAGAATGAAATAAACGCAGCCAAGCAAGGTGTAAAGCACATAAACCGATCGCATCTATACATAATATACAGAGCTTCATCAAGTATATAATGAACCGCGCGATTGCATCAAGAGGAAAGAAATATAATAGTGTCGCACGTGAACACACATTTTATACGCGCATTGCAAGAAGAAGAAGATGGTATACATAAGTATTTTATTATAAGTATCATTGAATTTATTGTAATGATATACTCTTAAGTAATGATCACGTAATTATTGCTAGAGAGAGTGTTATTTATTTTTATTTGTTGCGAATTTATCGATTGCCTTCCATTTGAGTAAAATAAATAAATATAAAGTTATTCGCTAAAACTCGTCTTTTTTCTATCTATTTTTCACATTATCATTATCAGAATTATGCATCAAAAAGTATTAATGAAAGGATTTAATGAGCAAAAAATAGTCACAAAATTAAAAAAAAAACATTCCTAGATTCTTCTAAGTTCATTTTATGTCTGCTACTAATCTCTTGATACTTTTCTGATTTTCAAGAGTTTACTTTCCTTTGACAATTTTAATTCCAAGAATGCGATCCTAACATTTTAAAAATTATTTTCAGTCTTTGAAATGCAAAAATTTTATTTTTTAAAATTAGAAAAGTCTTAAATTATAAATGATATTTATTATAATTGTATCATTTAATGCAATAATGATAAATATAATGAAATGTATAAAACATGTTTTCTAATAAATAAATAATGTATGAGAATCTAAAATATAAACTATCTTATATTTACAGAAGATCTCAATTTAATAAATTTTAATTATTTAATTATTTGATATAAAATATTTTAGTACGAGATATTATTAAAGACAGCTTTAAATTTTCTTGACTACGAGTGGGCTCGCTGGACACAGGGATAATAGAAGATTGATGACATTACTGGCCATTTTGATTGTACTAAAGACAATTTACAAGAATTATTTAATTACAAATATTGTAGATTAGCCAATTGTTATTATTGAGAATATAAAATCTTTTATATACCCATCTCAAAAATATCAAAATAAACAATTTATTGTATCAAATCTCTATTTTATTATTTTATCAACCATACCTTTGTATGGTCGAAAATCTTTATTTTATTACTTACAATAACATGCAGTAAGTTTTTTTCCAGCCACATTAATTTTCGTAAGACAATCGGTCTTTAATAATATCTCGTCGGTGATAAAAAACAATGATAAAAAACAATAGTGTGCAATCAGCCATTTTCGGAACACTATAGTTGTGTCAAAACCGGAGCATTATATAACAGCTGTTTTCGGAACACTCCAATCAGCTGTTTACGAAACGCCACTGAAATCAGCTGTTTCTAGAATAGTCAATCATTTCGTCGTGCAGTGAATTTATTTCAGTTCATTTTCCTAAATTAGTGTATTTGCAAGTGTATTTTTTAATTGTCACAAAGTGTATAATTCAAAATGCATTCAAGATGCAAAATATAATCTGGTAAAACTAACATCACTTAATACATGTCAGGTTAGAAGAATTAACCTCGCAACTAACTGATCGAACTGTATAAGTGTCAAAATTGTCAGGTATAGAAATTATTAATTATTTTCTAAGTGAATGAAATTGTCATTCATTGGCAACACATATATTTTAATTATAATTTTTAATTTAACAAATTATTATTTATAAGATAAATATATTTTACAATAACTACAAGATGATTCCCATATTTATGCTTAAAAATTCTGAAATATATAATAAAAAAAATATAATTACATAAAATTAATGTAAATTGTTAATCTGCTGTGTAATAATTTATTTATATCTTTTTTTTCGTATCTTTTTTGTAAAATGGTGTAATTTATATATCATCTATATTTACTTTACATAGGTATTTTGTGGTATTTAAGAAATTTAAATATTTTAACTGTGATAATGAAACGTAAAGCCGAATCAAATACGAGTAAATCAGTGGATTTAGATAAAAGTCACTGGTCTGCTGGTTTACTTAAATCAATGAAAGATCCTGAATGTATAGTCAAGGAAGATGACAAAATAATTGTCATTAAAGATAAGTATCCTAAAGCACAATTTCACTATTTGGTTTTACCAAAAGAGGATATTTCATCCATATGGCAAGTGAAAAGGAATCATCAAGATTTGCTAATGCATATGCATAATATTGCTCGTGATCTTGTAGAAAAACAAACAGATCATGAATTCATGTGAGTTTCAGATTAAAATAAAACAATAGTACTCATAATATAATAACAGTAATAATATAAATATATAATGACTTCTAAAATAATTTTAAAATATCTATATAAATTGAATTATATTATTGTATAATATATTTGATAAGTAAAATTATGCTATTTTATAATTCTTATAGCATAGGTTATCATGCGATGCCAAGTATGCAAAGGCTGCATTTACATGTAATAAGCACGGATTTCAATAGTCCTTGTCTTAAAACGAAGTATCATTGGAATTCGTTTACGACACCGTTCTTTTTACATTCTTCAGGTCAGATAGCCTTATCCTAATCGATATCCTTATTTGGATAAGCGTTTTAGAAACAGATTGAATTTTAGATGTGTCCCGACAATTACACGAAGAAGGCGAAATCAAAAAAGTTTCTCCTGAAAGATGCAAAGAATACTTAAATACGCAATTAAAATGTCATAAATGCACACTACAACCGAAAAATATGCCAGCTTTGAAGAGACATATATTAACACACATTGATAAACAAAAGCAATAAAAACACTGAATATATATAAAATGTAATATAATTTGTATGTGAATGTAATTTAATTTGTGTTTTGAACGTATATAAAATGTAACGTCTAACTTTTTTTCTCTCTGATATAAAATTATAAATTATTTCCAGAAAATGAATTACATACTTACATATATATTATTTAAATAGAATTTTTATATCATGATGTATGGCTTGATAAAAAAAACTAGCAAATTTTAAGTATTTGATACATTATGTATTTTAGAAATAAAATAAAATATTAATACACGATACAATTTAAGACTCTTTTACGCTACATAAATTACTATTTTAAAAAATAAATTAATATTTCTCATAAATATAATCTTACGTAATAAGTCGAATCGAAGGAACATTTTGGGATAGGAATTTCAGTTTGTAAAATGAATCGAGTGAACACAGGCTTTTTATGTGATATTTCGGAAAATTTACTATAAATAAATTTTATGTTATCCTTAATAGATCTTGGCGCCTATTAATATCAATTACATTCTAACTATTTACAAAGTCTTCTCGTAGGTTGCGCGAGTGTACATTGACGGTGTGTGTTTGTACGTATAAGTGTATTATAAGTATGTGTGTATGTGTCGTATATATTATACTTAATCTGTATACATTTAGTAATACTGCAATTTATAGTTGAAGCGTTTCTGCTGTATCGAAACAGTAGGCATTTGAATATTCGCAAGGCCTTGCTGTTATTGCTTGCGTGTTTCGCAGATTCATAAACGGTTCCGCGACGGTGTAAGGATTCCGATTTAAGTATTCAGTTCCTCTGGGCAACTCTCTTTTTAGCTTAGTTAAATTAACTATCTCTTCTCTTAGGGAACATAGCGCCTCGCCATGTCTCCCTACAAAGTCACGTTGGAATCGACTATCTTATTATGATATAATGTAATGAGAAAGGGGTATTTTTTTAACGCACAGAGTCCGAATAGGGCAACAGAAATCTGGAAAGCGGTATTTGACCATAAAAAAAAAATGTTCGTCAACGTACTTTGCCCTTTTCGAAAAATCGATGCGTCATCGATTTCCCCATCGACTACCCCTGAGAAGAAGCACGCGTTCCCATCTGAAAGTTTGCAAGGCCTGCATAAAACGTAGGACCCGCAAAGTTTGCCGCGATGGAAACGACGCGTCCGATCCGTTCTCCCTATCTCGTATATAGAAAATGAAAAAATTTTGACGCGTATGTGTGTGTGTGTGTGTGTGTGTGTGTGTGTGTGTGTGTGTGTGTATGTATGTGTGATACGAGATCGGCGATCGGATTTGTAGTACGTAGTCTCTCTCTCTGCGGAAAAGAAGCACAACGTTGATGCGTTGATGTGTGATACATATTTACATATACTCGGATATTATATTTATCTACGTTCGAAAAAATATATTATATATATAAAGACTTCGCGCGATATATATGTATATATATATATATATATATATAAACCAAAAAAAGTTTCGCGACAAAAGCACGTGCTTCGTTTGCGATGGAGAGATTACGCTGCAAAAATCGAGACGCGATTCGCTTAAAAGAAAGTTTTAAACTAGGTGAACTTCTCTCTCGGCGGTTCTCACTAGAAAAAAGAAAAGGGAGTCTGATCGGAACACGACGATGGTTGTTCGCCCGTTCTCCTTTTTCGTCCGCCCGCACCGTACGCAGCCCGCCAAAAGCGGTCATTTTGAGCAAAGCCACTGGGCAAGCGAGAACAATGTCAATTCGTAAAAGAACGAATCGCCATTTTTTCGAACATTGCACGGCGCAACGCGCGCAACCACCGATCAACCGTTCCAATCGTCCTCCCAATACCCTGTTTATGTCTGCATCGTGCGAGAGAGAAAGAAGGGGGAAAAACGACTAAAGGAGATTCTTTCGTTTTAGCGGAATCGCGAACGAGCCGTACCGAGGATCAACGAGAATTAAATCTAAGCGCGGTTTTAATCTAACAAAACGTTTATACACGATTTCCTTTCCTATCTATTATTCACATTTTTCTCATAAATATTTTATACACGTATATATATATATGTATATATATCTATATATCTTTTGTTGCGCGTATATATTTAGTAATATACAACTTTATGTACATGTTCGGTCTACGGCTCGATTGTGATATCCCTGGTCGAATCACGCCTCGATTTTCTCTCTTATCAATGCGATAGTATGTATTTACAATAAACGTATATACTTAAGAACAGCTAAGTCTAACGACAATAGTTGACGTGTAATATAGAATATATATAATATATATATGTACGCAATAACGTATAGCAACAACGCAGTGGTGACGATAGTAATAGATAATAGTAGTAGTAAGAGCGAGATATATATATATATATATATAATAATATAAATAGTAAATACAGTCGCAGAGTGTGGTGATAGTGATAGTGTAACACTAGTCTCTGTAATCTCTATATACGACGAGTACGTTGCGATCCTCTCGCACTATATTTAAAAAGAAGGAAAATTATAATAATCAAGAATAAATAATTCGAGGCAAGTAACGATAGGAATAAATAACAAAAAGCGAGGTCGTGTAATAATTAAATATCTAATTTATATTTTATATGCGAGCAAAATGAATACTCGTAATACTCGTACGCATACTCGACTGTCGCAACAATCACGCGGGCGATAATAATTATAATTTCTCTAAAAATTATACCATAATAATCGCACTAATGATGACGTAATCGAACGACAGTACGCTCTAAACAAATTTTACTAGCGTTTCTTAAAGCTAAGCAACTCTCAAATGAGTCTATATTGCTATCTATCTAAGGTTCTTTCTCAGGTATGTAAAGTCTTTTGTGCAAAGGAGGGAAAACGAAGTCGGTTTTCTCGTTCTCTATGACCCGTGTTCTCCACCGCTTCCTCTTTATATGAACGAACGTGCGGAGAGAAATACAAAGACCGATATCTCCCTTTTCTCAATTTCCGCTTCAATCTAATCATCAATCGCGCACGCTCGAATTCACGAGGGCCACGACGAAAAAGTGGAACTAAGCGGGGACAAAAACGCGCGTAGTAAGACAACGATACTTGTTCTTTTCCTATTTACGTATCTACTATGTTACAGGATAATAAGTGTTTTTTACGCGGCCTGCTCTTCATAGAAACGTGCTATAATATTTACAGAGAATATTTACGAAGGGAAACAAGAATACGAACAAGAGTAACGAGGAACGACGATGGTGACGAATAATATTGTATATGTGTGTACGTATATGCATGTGAGGGGAGCATGTATGTGTGTCATGTACGTGTGTAACATAGCGAAGAGAGCAAAGATCGCCCGGAACGTCGCGAGATTCCGGGGATCCTTTACAGGCAACGTAAACATCTCGTTAAAGCTGCACTGACTCGTTATCCTCCATTGTCCTTTTTGGCTAACCTCGACTAAATTGACTTCTAATTCGCAACGACGTACGCTGGGGTCGCGTTTTTGATTTCATCTAAATATTGCGCCGACGCGTATCAATTTGACTACACTTAAGAATAAAGTACAATAAACTATAATAGCACCGTGCGACGCATCACGAGGTGCCTGTAGGCAAGAGAAGATTTCCTTCCGGAATGCGCAACCCAATTTTTTCTTTTCTTTTCCTTTTCCCCTCTCGAAACTGCGGATTTGCAAGAAAATTTGATCATATGTGGGATTATGCGGGACTACGTATCGCGAGAATACTAAAGCATCAAAATTTATGAATGCGTGGACTTTATCTTCCTTTGCCCCAGGTGACCTCGATCTCACGCCCGAGTTGAATACATCGCACGGCAGCAGATGCCGCAAATACACGCAGCCGAAGCCTTAGCTAAAAATTTCTCTAATTCTCCGTCTATCCTTGTTTGTTTTACACGCGGTTTCAAACGGCCGCATGCGCGTCGTGCGATTCTTTCGCGAATAATGCGATTCTCCTCTAAAGGGTCTAACAATAATAAATAGCGAACATAAGTAAGATAATAAACATCGCACGACGATCCTCGACGACGGAGAGAATCGCGTTTCGGAATTGTTATCTAATAAATTTTTTGTCTAAACTGTACAGAGCGCGGTTCAGCGCGCGACAAGTCTACAAGTCTACTTTTTACAACGGGCTATACGCGAACAATCGATTCGCCGTCTTTTCTGTCGAGAACGGTCCGATCTTGGTGATCGTCACTCACTGACTTTACCATTGCTCGTTATGTGTTCTGTATTTCGAATTTCTCCCGAGCGTCCTTTTCTAAGCGGCAGTCGTCTCCTGCAGGCCGTAGCAATGGACCCGCATCTCTTCGATAGCTCTGCACCATTCCAATGCGAATCCCTCGGGATCTTCGAGATAGTACGTCCTGTTTGGCTGTAAACGAAAAGATAAAAAGTTAGATATACTGTGCATATACTCCTTCGATAGATAGAATGGCTTGAAACATTTTCAATTGCGATTTTCTTCTTTATCAGAAAAGTATTTAAAAAAATATAATACGTGTCGTCTTAGTTTTTTTTACTGTGGAGTAATTTAAAAACACTCACCGTATGAACGAAGAAGATTTTGAAATTTTTCGGCTCGACCCTCAGTTCAGGGCTCCAGGGTATCTCGCCCTTGAGCACCATATTGAAAGGATCGATATAGTATAGGTGCGGTCCAGTAGTTAGCAGGAGCATTCTTCGTCTGGTGAACAGACCTTTCCTCTTGTTGACAAAGCCCTGCTTCAGTATCAGATTGCCCTCGACGAAGGTATCCCACTGATTCGTGGCGCGCTGTTTCTCCAGCCGCATCCTAATCTGCTCCGGCGTTAGATCAGCAATTTTGGCGCCGCCGTCGATGTTATTGTTGATCCTTCTTATTGGCTTCACCGCAGTCGCGGTGGTCTTGTTGACAGGTTTGTTGACGGCGCTCCGTTCCACGCTGGTAGTATTGGTGGTGGTGATGTCATCATCGTCGTCGGTGTCCTCGCCGATACCCAGTCCGAGGAGCCTAGTAAGTTGTTTGTCGTCCAAGCCAGGTTCGAGATTGTCGGGCACTCTATACTGCGATCTCAGCTCCTCGTGCTCCGACGTACCGGGAAGATACGGATAGATCGGCGGTGGTGTCTGCTCGTGGAGGGTCTCGAAATTAACGCCCTCGAAGAAGGGATGCGCCCGAATGCTGGGATAACCGTCACCATGCGCGTCCAGAGCGCCCAATCGTTGTGTCGGCTCCAGGACCAAGAGTTGACTGACAAGCGACTTTGCCAGCTCGTCGAAACCGTCCGGTATCTCGTATTCGAGTTTCAGGATCTTTTGGAATATCATGTACTCGCTTCTAGAACGGAAAGGCGGCAAGCCGGCGACCATCTGGTAGACGATGCAGCCCAGGGCCCAGAGATCGGACGCCCTGCTCGCCGTTTTGTCGGTCAGTAACTCTGGTGACACGTACTGAGCGGTACCGACGAAGGAGCCCCTGCGTTCCCTGCGGTATTGCTGTTGCTGGGCGTCCGGGTCTCCGTCCGAGGTGGTGGTGGTCGTCGTCGTCGTCGTTGTCGTCGTTTTCCGATTGTCGAGAATCTTGGCGCTGCCGAAGTCGGTGATTAGCACGTGCATCTTCTCGTCCAGCAGGATGTTTTCCGGCTTGAGATCCCGGTGAATGATACCGAGTCCGTGCAGGTACTCGAGACCGCGCAGAATCTCGGCCGAGTAAAACTTGGTGCACTCGATGTCGAAGGAGCCCACCTTGTTGATGTATGGCAGGAGCTCGCCGTTTTTAGCGTACGACAGGACGAAGTAGAGTCTCTCACTGTCCTGGAAGGTGCAGAACAAACGCACGAACGAATGTTTGGCGTCCGCGAGCATGTTCAACACGTCCTTTTCGAGCTTTACATACTCGGACTTCTTCTCCTTAAGTATGTGACGCTTCTCGCACACCTTGATCGCGTACTCTTTGCTGGTATGGATATCCTTGGCAATATAAACCTGTCGAATCGAAGAAGATTTGAGCTTTATTTCATACTTATTTTTCCACATTTAATTTAATCAAGTATTTAAGTATCTTATATTAATTTCCGTTACATGTAATCTTGCTTTACGTTTATATTCACACAGAAGGAGGTGCAAAAAGAGACTTACGGTAGAGAAGCTTCCTTCGCCGATCACCTTGCCAAAGATGAAGTCCTTTGGGGTACGCTTGTGCGATGGTGGGTTGATGGTGGTGAGGGTCGGGTTCGTCGTCGGTGGAACCCGGGGCGCCAGGGTGCTGGGCGGCGCCACCACACCATTGGTCACGTCGTTCGTCGGTGGAGACATTCTAGACACCGGCCCCTCCACCGTTACTGCCGGCTGTGGCGAAACGGTAAGCGCCTGGTTCGCCACACGCTGCAACCGAACATACGCGACTTGTCAGGCACACTACTCAGGCTCCACGATCATCTGGCACGTTCTATTTTCGCGCACGGATACCGATTTACTAAACGGAGCCTACAGCCTTGTCGACTTGCGACTTTTATATCAATAACTATTTATAATATAAACTTGATAAGGTGTCACGAGTCAAGAGTTACACGCGTGATAACCGTCGTTTTGCCTCTCGATTATCTTGCGATTCGTCGAGAATGAAAAAAAACGAGAAAGAAGAAGGAGGCGAGCGACGATCAGCGGGAATCAGAAAATTGCGGGATTAAGACGACCGCCTCATCCGCCCCTCTCGTGCACATTCGCATTGCGTCCTCATTATCCTTTCCGCTCCGGAAGACGCGAGAGACACTCGCGCAGAGGAGGAGGCACGAACCTCCCGTGTCCGGCATTTAACTCCTCTCATCCGCCAACGGTCGTCCGGTACCAGGAAATCACGTACCGGAAGCGTGACGTCACTGCGGGCCGGCACGTGGTCGCGCCGTGTCGTGCGGGTCAGTGGATGATGACAGCGCGGGAGGACAGAGCGACTGCGTTGTCACGCAGAAAAGTAGAAACGCATTCGCGCGGGCACGCGCGGCCCACGCGCGTTAAAGATCAAGGCTGCCCGCGGCCGAAGTCCAAAGTTTACGAGATTAATCGCGCACGTTTCGCTATTTTCATGTACATTTATTATTATGTATATGTATCTATATATACCTTTTTTACGCGGAAGCGCATCCTCTTTCGACTCGCGCGAGCTATATATGAAAGAAATATTCTCCGTGTTAGAGTTTAACGAGACTCGCTGCTTGACTTCGTTTGCACGTAGAACAGCTTTATAATGATGAGAATTTCAAGATGTATCGTCGAGGGGAAGGGGATGATTCCGTTAACAAGGTTGCGACGCAAAATCGAAGGAACAGGAACGAACTGTTTTCCCCGGCGGATTTCCTTCGTTACAACGGAACGATATTATTGTCAGCTATCTCTCTCGCTCTCTTCCTCTCGCAAGGAGAGAGAAAGCGTGATGCGTAGTGCGTAATTGCGACCCGTTTGCGAGACGCTCTTTATAATACGCTAAACGACTGGGCCGTTCTCTCACGCGCGCGATCTCCGGTTCCTCCTCTTCTCGTAAGAGGAAAAAAATCGCAAAGGGATCGGTACTGGAGCGTAAAAGGTATTATGGCGCGATACAGGTTGAGCAACAGATGTTCTACCTGGTACCTGCTCGCAGGGGGTTGAAGACGATTAAATACTGCTACGTTTAGAGAGGTATGAAATTCAATGGTCGAAAGGGTGAGAAGCCCTGAAACCGGCTTGGATAGAACGTGTCGAGTGCCCGGGTATTTCCGTTCCCGAAGAGAATCACGATCGCGCGTGTTCTCGCGAAATAAATGTCCCTTTACGTACGGTCCTAATCGTCCCTCGTTTCCGGCTCGAAAGACGATCGACCTCTCTTCTTTCCGCTGTCATTATCATTGCACTTCCGTCGAAAAACGATCCCCAGTAGCGTCTCATATACAAAGCATCGCAACAGGTTTCCCGCCCTCGACAGGATGCGCGCAATTCTTCATTCGTCCTCCTTTCTTTCCAGTCTTCACATTAATAAAGATATTGCAGAAAATAAAAATCCAAACTTTGAACTTTGAATTCTAGAAATTTCGTTTCTATTATAATTTTTACTAAATTTTTTTAAAATTAGTTTTTAGAATTAAATATCTATAATAAAGCTTGCGATATTAAAATTTCATTACTTAATGTTAGTCATATAGGAGTTTTATAATGAAACTTTTTCAATTCGAAAGTGGCTCGACATATTAATTACGAGAAAAATCCCACCAACCCGACTTTCATCCTACAAACATGCACCTGTCGCAAAATGAAATAAATAAATAAAAATAAAGCCCCGAACGTTATAAACTCATACATTCTTGGTTATATATTTTCATATCATTAATCTTTGCGAATATCTTATTAGAATTAAATAATGACGGAATAATTATGTCTACTCTACTGGAAATCATGGCATGATGGATGACGTGAACCTGCAACTGGCGACAGCCTTATGCGCAGTTTGTTGAATCCAGCTTTATTTGCGATTATTTGCGACAGCTGTTCGACAAGAAAAAACACTCTTCGACGATATGGAGAATCGTTCGCAATAATAATAATAGTAATAATAATAATGATAATAACAATAATATTATAATAATCGCCAACGAGGCGAGAGCAGGCACGCGCGAGAAATGATATAATCGAATAAATTGCGAGCCGAGCCGAGCGATTAATCTCGATTGTGATGTTTTCGCAATTATTTTCCCAAGCCGAGAGCGATTTATCACAGACCGGGAATGATTTCGGCGAGAATTGCATAAGTCGACGACGATAAACACGGGTCAGTTCTTCTTATTTTAATCTTTTCTTGCGAATCGCGTACACGGCCTGTCGTAATTTTCGGCGCGCGAATCCGGTGCGAAGGGTGAAAGAAGCCGCTAATAAAAATAAACCGTAAAACCCTCTCAGAAATCGTAAAACCAGAATGGACGGACGAACGTCCTACGAAAAACACGGGTAGGCATGTTGTTTGTGTAATAGCCGTGCAGGCGACTTAAGTTTTATCACTTCATCGAGCATTCGACTTTTATGATTTCCCGGCTCGCCTTAATGAAGTACTTGGCATTTGTCGGAGATGCAATGAGGGCGACAAATATTACGTATGTATTACTCCGGCATCCAGTTTCTTCGCAGGTGAAGAAAGCGCAGAGGAGAAAGAGTTTCTTTAAATCTTGTAACAATATTTTCTCTTAAAAATACAGTGATAGAAAGAAAGTGGAACAAACCAAAAAAACAAATACTACAATACAAATGCCATACGAATATGTTTGTATTGGAAATTGGAAAAATTTTCTCAAAAATCAAAAAATTTTTATAGTATAGTAAATAAGAAGAATAGAATATTAATCGAACAATCGAATGGCGAGAATACACGTGTAAAAAAAATAGCAAACAAACAAAATTTCAATTTCCGAATAAATTTCGCGGTATCAAGATCTCAAGAAAAATATTAATTGACTCTGCTGTCAATAATAACGGGAATAAGTAGAGAAATATCGAGGGAGAAATAATTCGCGGTACGAAGAAACCACGGATTAACGGCTCGCCAAAGAAATCTAATAAAAAAATATATCCGCTCGTGTGTCGTACACGTCATAACGGTGCGAGAAAGGGGAGAGAGAAATAAAACGGACGATAAAACCGAGGTCGGGGCGACGAAAAGCCGCAGGTACGGTAAATAGCGGTGAGATAGGAGCGATAAATACGCAACGCCCTAATTTCGCGCTACCCGCCCGTCGTCGGCCATCGATCACTCGTTTACGGGTGGAAGAAGGGGGAGTCGAACCATATGAGGTCGACAGAAATGTGGGGTATATAGTATATACTCGAGAAAGCACTCGCGGTGTACTCAATAGAGAGAGCTAAGATGATAAGAGCTATCGATGTCACGGTAAATCCACTCAAAATCGGCCGAAGAATAAACTGCTCATTTATCTTTAAGACATTCGATATTTAGAGAAAGCGTCCTCTCGGCACTGCAGAATTATATCCTAACGTCTTTCCTCTATAATCCAGGGAGAAAGAGAGAAAGAGAGAATGAGAGAGACCTAATACCGGACTCTGGGGGGCTATAGCTGACCCAGACTGATCACCGAGCCGGGTGGTACCAAGACGGGCGTATCGTCTTCGCGGAGGGCGAAAACCCACAGCGGTGGGCCCTTTCCTTTCCTCTCCTTATCTACCTTTTCTCGTTCTTCTTCTTCTTCTTCTTCTTCTTCTTCCCAGGCCGGTTACGAGGCGGGCCCCATGGCGTCAACCATCCGTGTCAGGCCGTCGACCTCGTCGACGAGCATTCGCCCGAGAATCAACGGCCCTTACTCGCTCTCTTCTATCTACCCCTCTCTCTCTCTCTCTCCTTCTCGCACGTTCGCCTTGACTCCGCCTTGCCCCGCTAGTTTATTTATTTGCTTATCTATTCCTTTTGCCGCCAGTTCTCCTTCATCCTGCCTCCGCGTGCCGACGACGACGATATATAATCCAACCACCGAGGCATCAAATACCGAGCGTTCCGCAAACGCAGAGAGTCTCGCCTCGATCGTCAGATATCGAGACGAGGTGGGGATCTCGCAGAAATAATCGATACGCGGACGACAGTCCATTGTGGAATGACCTGGGAAGATTTGCTTAGATCGCAGATACCGCGCGGAAGGAGGTGGGGTATTTCGCTGAAGTATTTGAAAAGCAATCGACGATATTTGAATTTCGACTGGTTGAGCAAAGGCCCCGAGAGGATGTGGCCGGCGACCCACGGTCCCGCAAAATTTTGTAACTGCTATTTATAGAACGAGTTCGCGCGAGGACGGTCAGCGCAGGATTTAGAATCTGAGAATTCTAAGGAAAGAAATAAAATATTTAAAAGAAATATATATATATATTCCTTTCTATAATCGTATGCAAAATTTCAATCTTTTAATTACCGGAATATATATTTTTCTCGCCGTTACTTCATCATTGATAGAATCAGAGAATAACTTCTACTCCGTACATTTCGATCGTAATCAAATAAACTGCGAGAGCAAAAATATCGCACGAAGAAAATGATGTTCCATTTGAAAATAGCACACCGTGCGAATCACACGAATCTTACTATTACACACACACATATACTATCGCCATCGTAGTTACTACTGCTCTATTCGTTTCGTATCTCGCGACGAAAAGGTTAAAGACTATTCTTGGAGCGCGTCGATACGCGAATCTATTTCCGGCGACGAGAGTATAAAAGGCGTGCGAAAAAGGAGCAGCGGCGGAGAAAAGGAAAGGTAAAGAGAAAGAGGGAAAGAGAGAGAGAGAGAAAGAGGGAGAGGGACTCGCGCGCAACACGAGAGAGATCGACCGCTTTCCGGTACCCTCAGTATGTACGTATCTCTAGCTCGAGTATGCGCTCGTTCTCCGTCGCATATCCGCTACGCGTCCTTAGGGGCCTCGTCCCAGGACGAAATAAACTATCCGCGCATATCTTCGCTCTTTCTCTCTCGCTCCCGCTGAATCACCCTGTATACACCACTACCATCCAGCGGCATTCCAACGGACATTCTAATTTTAGCCCCGTGCGCGTCTCTTCTCTCTCTCTCCCTCCCTCCCTCTCTCTTGCTCGTGCACTCCGCCGTCTTCTCTCCGTCATCGTCTCCTCTCTCTCTTTCCTCTTTCGTCTTATGACGTTCTCTCCCGATACGCGCGGTTTTACCCTTTCCACCTCTCTCTATCCCTTCGCGAGACGCGCGGGCGGAGGACGAGGGAAGGCGAAGGAGAGTGCGATGCTCCCTGTATATATCCGCCGCCATTGCCCCTCTTCTCTCTTCTCGCGCGTCCTTTCTCTCTCTCTCTCTCTTTCCCTCGTTTGCGCGCCGCTACTCTCGTTTTTGCCGCTCTCGCAGGTAAGGGACTACGCCTATTGGCGCAGGCGGCCAGCACTTTTGCCCGTGAATGAGATGTTTTGCATTCGCAGACGCTGAGAAACGTGTCGCGAGCGAGCGAGCGAGCGAACGTGACTAAATTGGATCACGCGCCGCCGATGCCCGACGAGTAAAAGCGTTCGTTTGACGGAGAGAGACCGAGAGAGAATGAAATTGAATAGAATATGGTTTGTTCGGCGGTTCTAGTAGGGCGTAAGGCTCCTCTCGTCTCGACGAATGCGACGAGACAAAGATAGGTTTACGGAAAAATAAGCGTATCGAGATGACACGTGAACAAACAGAAGGAGAAAAGAACTCGGTATAGATTCTTTAATTATAAAGAGCTCATTAATTAAAACTCAATGTTGATTATAAGCGAGAGAGAAAATATTTGTATTAGACTTTGCAATAAATGTTTCTCCCAAGCGAATAAATGAAAGTGCAAAGTACACGATACGACAACAACTGTGACAGCACGAGTAGCAATAAATAAAGAGCCGACTGCCAAGTATCGAGGAAAAATTAGCGATAAGAAAAAAAGAGTATCGAGAAAATACAAATCAATAATATCGTATTCGTGGAAGGAATGCGATAAGACTTGCAACAATATGTCAAGTGTTTATATAGATTGTAATATTTAATCGCCTTGTCGAATCGCCGAATCAGATAATTAAATTCTTTTCTAATTTATACCTCGGCTCATTATGGATCTATGTCATTACGATGTCATTAAGGAATAATGCATGAGCAATAGGTAAAACGTGAGATTAAATACTAGTTACAAAGTCTCTCTATGAGAAAGTTATGCGTCGATTTCGAAACAGGAGACTTTGACAGAGCAACAGTCGACCTATAATATATTTCGACTTTTGTTGCGATCTGCCTCAAGAATAGACGAGAGATGCTAATTCGAGGGGACCCTTAAAAATAATCTTTCCGATCGAAGATACATAAATACGCTATATCGATGGTGTATTTCCCGATCATGAGAAATACAGAAGAGGGAGAAGGGATAAGGACGCGCGGCAATAACGTTTCTAATGCACCGTTGTACCGTTATTGCCGTAGAACATGCATGTAGGTAAACATAGCTAATGCGTATGCATATATTGTTAAACTGGATACTTGCGAACCGTAACGCGCATATATATATATATATATATATATATATATATATATATATATATGTGCGTATAAATAAAATTAAAACAATTCAATACACGTCAATTTTTAATTATATGATTTTTAAGTATTATATTTATGTAAATTATATATATAATTGGAGAGAAAATTAAATAAATGCGAGATTGTTGGCATTTAACAATATCGCGTAGTTTCGTTGTACTACGCAAACACCCTAAATTGTTTTTCTATCCTCGTGCAATTCTCGAGGTGAAGGTGAGCTTCCCGCGTTCTTCGCATCGTATAACAGTCGGGCAAAGTTTCGAGAATTATGCGCTAGATACGCGAGCGAGGGGGGTTTAATCCAGAATGGGGTGGTTTCCCTCACGGGTGCGCGTAGATCATAATTTTGCCCGCGTTGGTATTTGCATTATGATACATTAATAGGAGCATTATCTACCGTAACGTTCGCGCGCAGTCTGTTTGTGTTTACGTCAAGTGTTAGCGTCAGAGAGGAATTATACAACAGCGAGATAATTACAAAAATATCGATATTTCGCAAAGCTCGCAAAAAATCGTGGAAATCTTCATGTTCTCTCAATTACATTTTTCTCGTTGTTTTCTTTTATTTTTTTTTTTTATTTTTCTCTCCGCAACATTATCGAGATAACGCCATCGACCGTAATCGAGGCTCTCGGAGACCTTTAAAGCCTGTTTTCTTTTTCACGCGGTATATCGACTGTGTCGCATAAACAACCGATCGCGGACCAAACATGTTTTTCGGTCGGCGTCTTACACAGTGACATATTCTCTTATACGCGGGCGTAACGGAAGATCTCGTTCGATCATTCGCGGTTCACGTGCTACGACCTTACGGCTTCCGTTGGTTTCGATAATCTCTTTTTTTATTTTTATTTCTAGTCAACAGGATGTCGCACGCGTGTCAAGCTGATACTCGGAAAGAGGGAGCGGAGAGAGAGAGAGAGAGCCCGTTATCAGACTCGTCAAATTTGCCAAAAATAAAACAGCCAGAAATCACCTCGACGAGGTAAACGGCGTCGGTAATTATTGTGAAATTTACGCGAGATAAATTTTTCGATTCGCGAATGTCAAATGTTTTTTTTTTCCTTTCAATTCGTGAATTATGGCGCTCTGCGTCGTACATTTTTCTTCTATTATGTTACTCGTTATTTGCTGCAATGCCGTATTATTTCTGACTTACGTCACGCGTTGTTTACGAGCGTTGCTGCATCGTGGGGAGACTTAATTGACGGGTCTCTAAGTAATTTCGCAGAATAACATAAATAACCTCGCGATAACAACGCGACGAGATCCGCGATATCTGCGATATCCGGCGAATTCGTTAAAATTAACGCGATTGTAAACAACTTTCGGGCCCCTCTCGAGTCGAGGATACGGCTTTCACGATTTTTGACGGAGTCGACGACGATGGCGGCGGTGAACGAATTTATTTAAATTCGAGCGAGTGTAAATTATTCATGCCGCGAGGCAGTATATTAACCTCTCGCTTTCTCTCTTTCTCCTTTCCGCTTCCCCGTTATTTATTTCATCGAGAGGCCCGCCCGTTTCCCTCTTTTGCCCCGAAACGACAAGTTCCACTCTTCGTCGGATCTCGCGTCTACCTCTCGAGTTTGCCGTAATGCCTGCGTAAACACCAATTTATTCCCCGATCGATTTACACGTATCCTTGTTATCATCGAACGTATATCGCATTTCGCGAAAACAAATACCGTTTTTCTACGGCTGTCACGAGAGTATGGAATCTGTAAGAGAAGACGTTCGAATCGAACAGATTTTCAGACCGCGTTCGTCGCCGATATTGCCGTCAATGCGACCAGGAAACGTTAACAACATCGGCAACATCGGCATTACAAACAGTCTCATCATCGTTGATTATTCCGATCGCTTATCGCTTCCTCTCCGTATTATATATACATATATATATATATCGAGACAAGTCAAAGCGTTTCTCTCCATCTCGATATACCCTACTTGCCTCGGCGTTTGCTTCGAGACCGAGCGACAGACGATCGCCGAAATTGACGCAAATCCATCTGCGTAGGGCGAATCTCGAGCAATTATGTCGATTACCGCACATCTCTCGTCGCGACATACGCTCGATCTCGGGTTCGTTGGCACTATCGCGTAGCGAGACCAGGTAGATTTAGCTACACATCCCCAGTTACACTGTATACGCGCGCGACCTATCGCGTCCCTTCGATCTCCCTCGAGAGGACGATTTACGAGATGTACGAGACGTACGGTCGGCCGATGAAGAAAGCAAAGGTCTCTTACCTTGAATAGTTTCTTAAGCCTCCGGTAGCCGCGATGTAATCGCGACACGTACTGCTTGTTGGAATCCAGTTTGATTGATTAAAGCCACAGTTGCGGGAACGAAGATGAAGGACCGAAACCGAAATGATGGGGATGCGGAGCGGGGTGGAAGAACAACTTTTTTTGGTCGCGGAATTGGATGTAGCGATGTAGCAGACGGATAATGATGCGGTGAAACTTGAAAAGCGGATCTGTGTCGCGGTTGTTGTTGTTGTTGTTGCTCGATCTGACTAATGCTGTCGCGTCGTCGCGGTCGCCAATCACCGACTGCGTACACCCGACGACAGCGTTGTTTCTCGCGGGTCAGTCTCGGGTAGTACATATATATTGGCGTATATATGCATGCGCGGGAACCGAAGAACGAAAAACACGTTCGTGGCCGTTAAGAGCCGTTCGCTTACTGAATCCGACGGTTGGCGTGTCCCGGCTGCTAACCCGCGCTTTCTCCCCACCACGGCATCGCCCGAGTTGGCGGCAAGCTTCTCTGTCGCCCCACCTGGACCCGACCGTATTTCCCACCGTCGCGCGGGCTCCGAGAGCCGGTGGTGGGAGCCGCGCGTGAGGGGCTCCTCCGCCACCTCTCCGTCGTCGTCGTCGTCTTCGTCGCTTCGTCGTCATCGTCGTCGTCGTCGTCGTCGTCGTCGTCGTCGTCGCCGTCGTCGTCGTCGCCGTCGTCGTCGCCGTCGTCGCCGGGTAATCTTACCGCGGATCGTAGAGCACGCTTACCCCTGCGGTCAAGTGCGAAAATTGCAACCGAAGCACCGGGGCGCGCCTTCTCCTCGAGTAACGCTTCCTCGCGTTGTTTCCCGCATTCCAGGCAGCGTCGAGATCGGAAAGGGCGTCGGGAGGATGAGAATGACGAGCGCCCTGCGGCGCGAGATTAATGACCCCGACGTGCCCGAAGTAGCCGTCGTTGTCGAAGAGAGACTCGGGCGAAATTCCGAATCGGTGACGACGACCCCGAGGTCTCTCCTCGCTCGATTAAAGGGGTCGAAGGTGGCTTACCCGCGAGTATCCCTCCGCGTTATCGATGGTAAACAGCGTCGATTGTTTGTCACCGTCGCTGATCGCTCGCGACGACTTTACGTTGCGATTTCGAGCGAGCACCGCCGGAGGGGAAGCCGCGGACGCGCGCGCGCGCGCCTGCGTCCATATGGTAGGGAGACGGGACGATTTCGCGCCCAGCGGATGGGGGAAACCAGGGAAACCCCACGCACGGCGCATGCACCGGCGGCCGAGTCGGTGGGGTTTCTCAACCGACGGCGCCAGAATCACCCCTCCCGTCCTCCTCTACTTCCCTCCCTCCTCTTCTCTTTCCTGCGTCCGGCAGCGAGCGGCGACGGCGGCGGTGGCGGCGGTTGGTTCCTCGTCGGTGCACTCTCGCCTTGGAAGGGAGTGCACCGATCACACGCGCGGCGATATTCGCCCTCTCTCTCTCTCTCTCTCTCTCTCCCTTCCTCCCTCCCTCTCCCTCTCTTCGCCTCTCGCGCTCCCTCTTTATCCCTCCGACTCCGATGTGTTTGTTTGTTTATAGTCGCGTTCTGGGAAATACCCGATACGAGTAACGGAGTCTCATACGCGCGCCATGCCGCGCTGCGTCGCTCGCATTCCCATTCTGGAGTTGCATCCGGTCGGTTCTCGGATTCCTCCGAGACTTCGAGAAGCGGCCGTATCCCCTGGTGCGACGGTATGCGCGCAGCCTGATTTCGGGATTCCTCGCTTCTTTCGAGACCCTTTTCCCGCCCTTTTTTCCCGTTACCTGCGCGCAATTCGGTCTCTTTCAACTTTTTCGAGAAAAGGATTTTTCTGAATGGACGTAAAACGGAAAATAAAAAAAAACCCGAAAAAGAAAAAGGCACGTTTCTCCGGATACCCGCGTCCTATTTTCTCGAGACCCTTGGAAGTAAAAGCGACGCGCCTTCCGTCGTTAAAATAATCCACGTGGTACAAAGATTTACCTTCTCGTAAAAGGATTGAAAGGGGAAGAAACTCTATTTCGTGATGCGCAATCTTACGATTTTTATACGTCGCAGAGTTGGAAACGCGCGCCCGTATCCACACTCGAGTTACTTTCGTATCCCGACACATCCGGTTATAATTTATTAATATAGACGGAACGATCGAGCGCGCAGTCGTGATCGTTGATCATCGTCGACGCGGCGCGCGGCCGCGGGTTCCCTTCCGTAAATCTTCCTGACGCGTCGATAGATAATCCTCTCGGCGCGACTCGTGCGGTCGACGCGGACAGGCGTTGTTGAACACCCGGGATCGATAGGGGAGAAAGGCGCGGAACGTTTATCCGGCTGCGTTTCGGAAAAACGTAGTCTACCTGTAATCTCAGGAATGCGCTACGTCATCGCGTAGCAATCCGCCGCGTAATGTGTACATACGCGCGCGCGTCTATCTGCAAAATCGCACGGCAAATATTGTACAATGATGTTGTGTAATGACGCGTGACGACGGCGCCGCGTGACCCGTACGAGGAAAACGTAATAGGAGCGTGTACGACGCGACGATAACGCGACCAAGAACGATGATTAATTAGGGACGACGACGGGGCGACGCCCCGCGTTTAAGGCGTTCGAGGAATTAAATATTTTCAAAGGACATTCCTTCGGCTTTGCTTTCCAAGCCAACGACCCATCTCCCGTAGTTTCGGGACCTGAATCTTCTCGCGTCCGACAATTTCCTTATTTTCCAACTCTGCGCGTCCTAAATGCACATACATGTTTATCTACAAAGTACACTTTAGATAACGTCGAATAAATTTACGCAATCGATCTATCGGTTTGCCTACGGCTCGAGAATGCCAGCTGTTTCTCGTTGTTTTCCAGTTTTTATCTGGTTTTCAGACGTGGAAGGTCGCTGGCAGGGGGGAATGTCCACACGGCGTGATATATCGAAGCGAACGTTTCCACGACGAGAAAGAAAGAACTCGTCGGGATTCTTCGGCGCGCATAACAACGATATAAAATTGCCGGCAATTATTCACCGAACGCTATGATAATAGCTGCGCGATTTGCGGAAGAATCGAACGCGGAGAATTCTCTCTTGGACTTTGCCGTCCGTGAGAAAAACGCTCGGGAAGTAAACAAATAGACAATAAGACACGTGATGCGCGCGAATCGTTAACGAATGCGAGTCGAAACGACGATATCGTTAGATAGATCGATAGAATATTGATCGGCCGCTGCGAAAAATACAATGTCGATTAATCGACAGTCAAGCTGGGTCTACAATGGCCGTAAGGTTGTAAGTGAAATGAACCAAATCCATTTCCTACTACTACTGTATGTTCTACGGCGGACGCGCAATCAGAATTAAGAACGCACGAAATCCGTAGGAAATGGATTTGGTTCATTTTGCTTACAACCTTACAATCTTATGCTACGGCCATTGTAGACCCGGCTTCACATCGACGACGACGTCTTACATTCGTCATATGATATACAGATATATCCGCGATCCTTAGATTCAAAGGGCCGGAACCCGCATTCGCTTTCCGACCATCGATGCGCGATAAATGTGCATCATGTGTGTCCCAGGCTTGTAAAATATTTTCAAAAGACCGGAAGTGAAGAAGACAAAGAACACAAAAACAGAACGTCGTAAAAAGTTTTGTTTGACTTTGACATTTTTTTTTTTTTTTTTCAAAGCGACAGCTAAAGCCGGACAGCTACGGATTAAGCGATCAAAGGTCTTTCAAAAATAGTCGTACTGCTTTTGTTGTAACTTTTTTTAGTGTAACCAAGACGGAAAAAGCCAAGAGAAATCAATGCATAGACAAAGGCCCGTCGACACGATAGCAAGATGTTTTGAAAACAAGAATACGATAAAATGTACTGTGTAAATAGCACGCCATTATAACATCTACCTTAGCGTAACTCGTAAAAAGATTTCATGGTTTGGGAAAATATTGTCCATGATAATAATATTTTTCCCTGCGTCTCTCGCTCTCGCGAAATTCAAAATATTTTTACATCAAGGGAGAGAGAGGTACGCGTGACATCAACAACTTACAACTTGACACTCTTCTGGGGAGGCTTCCGCAGAGAATTTGCCGCACAGTCATCGAACTTAACGCTATCGTCATCGTCGCGGCAAAAACGACCGTAGCCCGACACGACAGAGAATTTCTCCGCGCGAAAATACACTTTTGCGAAATCGCCAACGGCCGGTTGTTCTGGTATGTCAACAAACAGAAATCCTTGTTCCCCTTCGGACGGATTTCCCCGCGTCCTCCGTCGCATCCCATCCCTCCCCCGCCGCCCTTTCTCTTTCTCTCGATCACGGCTCTCTCGGCGAAGGCCGCTCGCGACTTTCAAACGCGCAGCACGGTGAGAACAGTCGAATCATTGTTTGCATGATCGCGTCGTCGTCGTTGTCGTCGTCGTAATCGTTTCGTCGCCGTCTTAGGCTCCCCTCTCGGGCGAAACGATGATAATGCAGACTCCGAAATTCGACCGCGGAATATTTTCGCGCGACCGAGATCTTGATCTTGAGATTGTTGCTCGGCGACAAAAAGATTACTCTTTAGCGAGAGATACAGCGGTGTTTCGAATAATCTGATTGTAAAAAATGATGCGATATACCTTCTTCTTGCAGCGATAAATGAACGCGGAGCGCTAATAATTATAGAATTATAGAATTTATGGTAAACGCGCAATAATAGAAAATAGAGTACGCAAAAGTTCACGCATGTAGACTTTCGATCCACGTGCGATGGAGGATGATCGAGCCGCACAGATGCGCGAGCTGGATGGTGACGCGTAATTAAGGATGTGCGAAATCGGGGTCGTGACTCGAGACTCTAATCCACAATGCGGAAGCGCGTATTTAGCTCACCCGGTATACGAGCGGATGGAGCGCGTCTTCTCTAGTGGCTTCACTCCGCGCCACTTTGCATACGTACGTCGGTGCCAGAAAATCTGCTGGAAAATCGGTCACGGGTGACTAATCCGGTCGGAATCCACGTTCGATTGTTCCGCGGCTTCGAATCGTGAGAATCGAACGACGGTCAGATCGGAACCGAGAATGCCGAAACCGAGAACGCGAAAGCAGAAATATATGGCGCATTAAGGCGTCATAATTCATTCGCGACGCAGAAGACGAGAGAAGCGATCATCTCTCTCTCTCTTTTCCTCCGTTACAATTTCTCTGGAATAAATTCCGTGAATAGACACATGGATAAATCATCCGGCAGAGTGCTCCGAAATGGATCTAAAAATCTTTCTGCGATTCTTTTCAAGTACAATTGTAAGTGTATGCGAGCGATTCTACTCGTTAACAATTATACATTTATCTGTTTGTATAGATAATCCTGAACAAAAAGCAAGCCATCGAGAAAAATAAATACCTTCCGCTGGAGACTAAGATTAGATTCGGAGAGCGGATAAGGATATGCGCAGGTATCCGTATTTAAATACACGATACCCGAATTGCTTTGAGCATACGATGCTGAAGATAACCTCGGTAGAGGTCTAGTCGTTACATCGGTGATTTATTGATAATAATTGTATGGTAATTTAAGTGAGATTTTTGTTCCGAATTCCGGACGAAAATGCTAGAA